GACTGAGAGTTTCTTGCAAATAGGTATTTCCTTCCTTTGGATCCAGGGCTCCTCCTCTGAACCCAAGTGAGCTGTGGGTGCAGAGAGGTGCATGTGAGATGGGCCCCGGTTCTGATGCTTCCCCACTCCCAAAGCCATCGTGAAGGAACAGCTGAGGAAGTAGAATACAGTTTGCTCCCATGTAGCAAACCCAAACACTGTTACCTAGAGCCAACAGCAGCTCCTTGTCCATTTATTTGACTCTGGGGTTTTATTGGGAAACACTGGGTAGAGAGCTGATGTCTCCCTCTCCTTCTGAAGGTGGAAGAGATGCTTTCCCCCAGAGTCTTGACTCTCCTCTCCAACAGTGTGCTGCCAGCCACATCATAAAGAAAATGGATGGATAAGGAACAGAATCTAGGGAGAGCAAGCACTCTGAGGCCGCTAAGTCAGTGTGACGTACCAGCTCCATGCTTTTTTTGGGAAAGCATGTAAACTCCCTCCCTTTATATTAGTGTGAATTATGATTCCAAATAATCATTGCTTCCAACATAAACAGTTTCTAATATAAACCATTCCTGCTGGTTACCACAGACAGCCCGAGCAGCATGGAAAATTTCAGTTGTTACATCACAGTCACCCAGAGAATAGCAGCGGTGATTGAAATTATTTTGCAGTGGTTTGAATAATGCTGAGTGAAAGGTGATACAGAATTATTGCACTTCACAGAGGGCAAACACAAAGCAGACTCAGAGCTGCCTTTCCTTTTACCTGGCCCCTCCTTGTGGCATGTTGGACCTGACAAACCCACAAATTCGTGTGGGTAATTTCCTAATCATGTCATGACTCATCCAGAACTCCTCTCAGCCTTATACAAAACTGGGGAAGAGCATGAAAAATGAGACAATGGCTGATATGGCACAAGAGCATTTACAGATAAAGATTTTGAGTTTACAACTCTAATTTAATAATGCCTTATTGTGGTGCTTGATAGTCTGACAATCAATACAATACAACATACAAGAACATGTGTGAATGTGTGTTAACTAGTATTAATTAATGTATTAACTATCAATTGGCCAACTAATTACACTCTTACCACTGTTAAGACTTCTATCGTTAAAAAAATAAAGTAAAATTTCTTAGTCAAAGCTAATCAAATGCAAATAATCTTAAATATATATAATAAAAAATGCATATAATCTTTGTTTCTGCCAAATTCAAGAACTTTAAGTATATCAAATATATTCACTGAATTCACTTGTCATGTACCACCATTTAACAGCTATTCCTGTAATGGCTTTACAGACTGATTAAGTACTCTTAGAGGATGAATAATGCTCTAAGTTCCCTCATGCTTGAATACAAAGGGTGTATTCTCCCATGCCCACAACTTTCAGCAATACTTCTTTGCTGCTGTACCTGCAAATAAAGACCAAAAGAAGCATTTTTTAAGATTATCAAGTTTATTGTCCGTCAGAAAACATATGTAGGGTAGGTTGTTTCTGATCAGGATCTGCTTTCTTTGCTCAGAAATTGCTGGTTAAATTTTAAGGTCAGTTTTATTGTTTAGATAGTTTGAGGTCTAACAGCATCTCCCAAGTTCACTTGGTAACAACACCCCCCAAAACCAGGAGCCTTGCATTGCGTTTAGAGTAGAAAAAATAGTAATTATAATTGGTTTATTTGTTGCAGCTGCAGAAACTGAAGCGATCCCTCTCCTTCAAGACTAAAAGCTTGCGGAGTAAAAGTGCAGACAATTTCTTCCAGAGGACTAATAGTGATGTGAAACTGCAAGTAGACTTGATGCCTGAGGTGAGCACAAGCACTGGGCAGCTCCCCAACTCAGACAGCCAGGCATCTTCACCCACCAGAGCCCAACAGCTGCCAGAAAACAGCAAGACTCACATCTTCCAGGAGCACATCTTCAAAAAACCAACCTTCTGTGATGTCTGCAACCATATGATTGTTGGTAAGAAACAGTTTATTTAAAATCTCATGTGTGTCCCTGCCAGAAGTTTCAGGATGACCTTTCTCTAATTTCTGTGAGCCCAGAAGTCTCCTTGAGTATATTCATGCAGAGAGGTTCTGGATTTGTGTCATATCTGCCACAGGCTAACAGTTACTGACAGACGTCTTGCCTTGTAGACACGTACTGTAATCACAAATTACAGGTGAGGGATTCAGCTGGAATCAAACTCTTCTGTCATCCAGGTTATACTGAGCACCAAGCACAAGTTGTATGCTGCACTGGAAGCAGCAGAAATCCATATTGCGAGTGTATGCACTATCCTCCCTTTTTCCTACAGCAGTAATTTTAACTTTCTTCCTCCTCACGTCTGCCCTCACGCACTGCATCACCCCCAGTTCCCTTTCACCGTGGTGACCATACCTACCTCCCCCAGCTGTCCCACATGTCACTTAAGGGACAAGAAGTAGCATCTGCTGGGTGGTAGGCTCTTATCTGCTTGTGTGGGTGTAGGTGTTGGCTGTCTAGGACGAATATTTTGGGAGACCAGGTCAAAAACCAAATATAACAACTGAATTTACACTGCAGACTTTCTTGGGATTATTCTACCTGATCCCTCCTATGCACAAAACCTCACACTAACTTTATACCTTTGAAAGATAGGCATATCTGATCTCTGAAGTGGTCCATGAGTACATAAGTTCCAGCCAGGGACTGACTGACTGACAGACAGACAGGAGAAAATTTTGCTATTGTCTCTAGTGTGCAGAAAAAACCTCCCTGCTGAGCCCTGCTTGTAAGGTAATTTTCAGTGCAGTGTGAAGACCTAAAAAGCCAGCCTTCATGCAGATCATCCATGGGGCTCTGCAAGGAGAGGTCAAAAGAGAAATGCAAGTGCCTGGAGGTGTAGAACCTGACTGGCTACCACAGTGGGAAGCTGCAGGAGCCGCTATTCAGCAATCTGATCCTGGAAATTCACATCCTCATGGCTTGTGTTGTGCACATGATTTGGTCTTCCTGCTTACTTACCATCTCCTTGTCCCAGCACAGTAGAGCAGGAGTAAATTCAGTGGCAATTTACCAATGTGAGAGTGAGTGACACAACTTCCAAGCTTTTAGGCAGGACAGGGAAGTAAATGTGCTAATGATTTAGCTTCATGTAGAAGTAGTAAGGGTCTTTGAGTACAAAATATTGTCTGAAATTTGTATAACTTACTGTCAGAAACTTACATCCCCTGGCATGGAAGTCACTGCTTTTTAGGTAACAGTATGGTAGGCTCTTGAAAGATGCTGATAGGACTGATCAACATTTTTCAAATGAGGGTGCTCAGCGTTCCCCACTTCTGTGAGGAATTTGTGATCTTTGGAAAAGGCAGCTGTCTACAGAACATTAAAACTGATGCAAGACAATCTTGCTTCCATAAATTAACTTATATTCTCTCTTCGCCACAGCTGTACTGAATCCAAGGAAACTAAGAAATTTTAATCACTTTTTTGTGTAATTTTTCCAATCTTTTAAGGTTGTTTTCTACTTGAAGTGGTAAAATAAATTAAAGAGAAAAGCAGTAAAGTATCAGTATCAGGGAAGTTCATGGTCTAGAATTTGACAGGAAGTCTGGAAAATTAGTTAATTGAAATAACTTTATATATGGGAAAGGCCCAGAAGTTGTCTCCTTCAGTAATGTGGATGGATGTTCTATCAAAGCTTATTTGCACAAATATATACTGCAAATATATGTTCCTTGAATTTCTGGCAGCTCCTTGTGAAGTTGTATGGAGATAAATATCATCACAAATCTGCATGACTCAGCAGTAGTGTTTCAAAATAGTGCTGCTTATGACGAATTATTGCTGGCAGCAAACTTTGCAGAGAGTAAATCCAGTTCATAAACACTCCTGCCCTTCTCCTTTGCTGGGCAATCTGTGTCCGCCTGGAATAGGAAAGTCCTGAAGCACAGCTCTAGACTTCAAAACATCAGCTTTAACCCCCTGTGCTTTCTGAATTTTTTTCTGTTCTCTCTGCTGAGGGCTTTGCTTTTCTGTTCTGTGTCTTAGCTACTTCATTAGCTGAAGAAGCCTCTTTAATTGCTGAAGAAACTAATGTGACCTATTTTGTCTGGTAGCAGTCTGAGTCAGGTAAATTGCTCTGACCTCTTCCAACTCATCTTTGCTTGGAGGTAAGGCAGAGAAGATGTTGGGAGTTTTACCTTAAGATGCCTTAGACTATAGATGCCCTGATTTTCATAGACAAACGTCTTCTCTATTCCTGCCATCTTCTCTTTTTGGTCCTTATTGCATTTGTGCCTGGTTTTGCTGTATTGTTATTTAAGTAGCATGGTAAATCTCGATGTTAACTGTTTGCTGTTCAATTAATCCATATAGGTTGTACACCTGTGGGTTATAGGAATAGAAAAGCAAAACAGGCAGCTTTCAGAAAACCCTGTCAAGCCTGCTCCCAAAGACAGACTGAAAAAGTCTCATTTCTGTTCAGGGACTCTGACTGCTTGAAACATGGAGCCGATTTGTTCTCTCTATTTGCGTTTTTCACAGGCAGTGACATTTAAGAGTAATGAGTCTGTGATTTTAAATTCCTCATTGATGAGAATAAAGGCAAAGACAGATACATGTTTTGAAGGCTGGAGGAAAGACTCCAGGAAAATTGTGTCTTGACTTTAGATGGCTTTAATTTTGCCACCAAGAATGATTCCAGGCTCACCTTAAATGGCACTCTGATCCATGAACTAAGCAGCTCTTTTTGGTACATGGCAGGATAAAGAGCAGCCCACAGCATGAATGTGCAGTGACTGCTTCAGTCTCACTCATGTGGCAGAATCCGTCTGTAGCTTCAAACTGAGCAGGACACATGGAGCAGAGGCAGCAGGTTCCCTGTGCTGCTCTTTTCACAGCAAAATTAAAGAACTTGAAACATTATCTTATTAGAAAAAAATACGTGCATCATCTCTCTTTGATCCCTGGGCACTAGGAGCCATATATTGCCCTTGGGATGCAGATGCAGTGCAATCAGTATATATATATATATATGAGTAAACTTACTCTTTCAAATGTTTTTCATGCATTCCAGAGTACAATGCAACATATTCAAAAGCAAATCTGTTTATTTATGTGATTTCAAAAAAGAAAAAAGTGTATTAATAGTGTGCTTCGTACCGCACTTTAAAGGCAGGAGTTGGACTGTTCCTATTAATTGTACTAGACTGAGACTCAAGTTCCACCTCAGTAAACAGAAGAAAAATTTGATACAGAAGCAGTAATTTTCTGTCAAATGAAATAATGGAGGAAATTTCACATTTGAGGGAGCTTTGAAGAGTGCATGCAGAATCCATTTTACATTAATGGGGCCTTCTTACAGCATCTAATTCTCCAATAAAATCATCATTCCTAATAATGAATTCAACAGTAATAATTCACATAATTTCAGAGCAAATCAATAGTGTGTTGGGGCAGACTCTGCACTCCTTTCTCCCACTCACTGTTTTGCTGCTGTGAGTGCCTGGCATCGGTTAGTTTAGGACTGGGTTTTCAGCTGCACAGAGGGCTACATATTTTCCTAAACATATCCACCCTCGAACATCCTCTCACAGTATGTCTCTTAGAAAACCATTAATTTGCTGGTTTTAGTAGTAGTATTTATTACTATTTTAATATCTAACCTCAGCAAGGGAAAATTTTGAAAATCAAAGTCTCTTGTGGAATGTATTACTAGATCATAATTTAGGAGACGCTGTTTTTATGGGGTTTTTGTTTTACATCACAGTGAAAAGAAAACCATGTCAGATACCTCAGATACCTTGTTATCTACCATTTTCTGTGATTAGCAAGAATGTGGTAAGCTTTGGCAATGGCTAATTAAGGGAGGCAAAACCACCTAGCTCCAGCGAAGATAGATACTGTTAAATTAATGTTGCATCAGATTATGGTCTTATGTCTTATCTTATTATGTCTTATGGTCTTATGATCAGAAGGAAGTTCTTGCTTTTCTTCAGTCTCTGGTGTGTCATCAATCATCCCTGTGACAATTTGCTGTTGAAGAAAACATGATGTCAGTACTCTAGAGTTGTAAAACATTGTGCATTTTTAAGAAAAACCTCCATCTGTAGAATTCTCAACGATTTACTCATTTGCAGATCATTTCCTGTGCTGATTCACATGGAAAAAATGTTATTTTCCATATATTCCAAGCATATTACATGTAATTAATGTATTCCCATCAAAGTCAAATATAAGTAATGCATTAAAAAAATAAAGCACTTTGCTTTTAAAAATATATTACTTTAAAGTCAATCTTTCAAAGCTATGTTTTAAAGAAATATATCCTTGTTTTTATGGTATCTTTCTTTGTGTTTCCAAAGTATATGTAACTGTTTCACTCCATTCTTAACCTTAACTATGGCACAAAATTTTAATCAAACACCTGGGTTTTTTTGGCATACCTGTTGGACCATGTTTGCCTGGAACAAACTTGCAGGAAAAGCAGAAAAAATTGTGGTTTGCAATGTCCAGTAAGTCAAAAACAGGTCCTTCTGTGTCATGCCACTCTTGACGTATATGCATTTATAGGTGTTCTCAAGGCAACTGTGTTTCTGGTTTGGATGCAGATTCTCTGAGCCTTTGCAGCTCTGAAGGTAAATAACTCAGTACCTGTCCTCTTGGGGAGCTAACCAGATTGCAGTTAGAGAAACCTGTGGAAAACAAATAAGCAAGTAAAAAAGATAAAACCAAGACATGGCTGTAGCATAGCTTCCTTTCAGTCTATTAATCAGTAGTGCTTAAGCAGTGAAGTTGTGTTATCCCTTCAGAATTTACTCACTCCTACCTCCGTCTGTTCTGGTTTAGCCAGTCATTCTGGAGGTTCAGACAGCCAAAAACGTACCATGAATAATTCTTTCTCACTTCATCTTTTAGAAGCAGCCCGTATTTCTTTATTTCACTGTGCAGTTGTAGCCGCTAGAACTTTCAATCACTTTTATCCCCAAAGCTGTATTGTAAAATCCTCCAGAAAGTTAGGGTCAAGGTTGATAAAATGGGCAAGCTTTTCTAATGCAGGAGAAAAGGAAAGAAAGATGTCTAGATTGAAGCTATGGTTCTCTTTTTCTGTTAGATTCTGCATTTGAACTTCTCTTAGACTATCAGTAACTGCGACTAATAAGTACTGGAAAAACTCCATGGTTAGAGGAAGTGTTTATATAACTGTAATTTATGTGGATGTTTATTAAATATAGAAAAATTTCACAGGAACTATGACACAGTGCTTTCTGCCTCCAGTCTGATCAGCTCTCTCCTAAAAAATATGCTTGACTTTTTTTAAGCTTGCTGCCTCATTTCATGAAGTAGGAATTCTGGTTTGGTCCAAACCTGCCTATATCCAGCATTATCCAGGTAGACAAAGGTGCAGTAAATGGTCACAGATTGATCACCACTTTTTGGCAGCAAGACAAAGCAGAAGTACTCCTGGAAGCAAGACTGTAACTGGCTTTTTCCAAGGCTATGGTAGTTTGGAAGGCTCTTTGTGGAAAAAACAAAGGCTGTGGAAAAAACAAAACAAAAATAAGACATTTTTATTTATCTTGCAGGATGAAGGATAAAAATAATGTTATTCATTCAGTCCTGCCCTCCACTCTTCCTGGTCTCTCTAGCATCTCCCAACACAGATGACCTTGAGGGAAGAAATTTGTGTTGCCACTTCATCCGAGCAGAGTTGTCCCCTGTAGAGAAGGGTAAAGATATTCCAGCAAGGGGGACATACCCTTGGAGCAGGGCTTGTGTAGTCACAGCCAAGCCTTCCCACATCTATCCTCCAGAGACATTATTACTACTACAGCATAAATTTGTTCTGTTTATTATTAAGAGTTTCCCTATTGAAAGAAACTTTCAAAAGCTGCTGAATCCTTTTTTTTTTTATTTATTTGTGAGGAAAAATCATAAGATGCTGCCTGACCAATCTGACAGCCTTCCATGATGGCATGACTGGCTGGGTAGGTGAGGGGAGAGTGGTGGATATTGACGACCTTGACTTCAGCAAGGCTTTTGACACTGTCTCACATAACATCCTTGTAGGCAAACTCAGGAAGTGATGGATGAGTGGATGTTACTATGGATTGGGAACTGGTTGAATGGTAGAGACAGAGAGTCTAGTTGGAGGCTCATTACTAGTGGTGGGACCAGGTCCAGCCTTGTACAACGCATTCATCCATGACTTGGATGAAGGGATGGATGCACCCTCAGCAAATTCACTGACATTCCAAAACCAGGAGGAGTGGCCGATAACCCAGAGTCCTGTGCTGACACTTAGTGAGACCTGGACAGCTTGGAGAGCTATATGGATGGAAAGATCCAGAAATTCAACAGAGGCAAACGCAGGGTCCTGCACCTGGGGAGGATGAATCCCCGGTGCCAATGCAGGCTGGGAGCTGACCTGCTGGAAAGCAGCTCTGTGGACAATAGTCCCAAGCTGTCCAAGAGCCAGCAGTGTCCTTGTGACCAAGAAGGCCAATTGTATCCTGGAGTGCACTAGGAAGAGCTTTGCCAGCAGGCTAAGGGAGGTGATCCTGCCCTGGTGAGGCCTCATCTGGAGTGCTGTGTCCAGTTCTGGGCTCCCTGGGCAGGAGGTACATGGAGCTCCTGGAGCAGGTCCAGCGGATAGCTGAAAATATGATTGGGGACCTGGAGCATCTCACTTAGAGGACAGGCTAAGGGAGCTGTGGTTGTTCAGCCTGGAATAAAGACAGCTGAGAGGGGATCTCATCAATGTTTGTAAGGACCTGAAGGGGGTTTGCAAGAGCTCAGGCTCAGTGGTGTCCTGGGAGAGGACAAGGGACAACAGGCACAAACTGAAACAGGAAGACCCATCTGAAAATGAGGAAGAACTTATTTACTGTGAGAGTTACAGAGCACTGGACCAGGTTGTCCAGAGAAGTTGTGGGGTTTCATGTTACAGAGATATTCAAGGCCCACCTGGCCATTATCCTGTGCAATCTGCTCTAGTAGAACCTGATTCAGCAGGAGATGGGACTAAATGATCTCCAGATGACATTTCCAAACCCAGTCACTCTGTGATTCATTGAAAAAGGGCCATTGTGTAACCTTTTCAATTACTGGTACCGGGTGCCATCCCATATATTACTAAGTGATCTACAATCCCTGCCTCTACCTCCTCCTTCCTTCCTTCCACTAAATTTACTCCTGGATTTAGGACACTCCATTTCAGTTGATGACAATGAATGGCTCTGGGCACTTATAACTTCTGGCACTTTTGAGAGTCAGTATGAGTGACTATTGTTTAAGTCATCTCCCTCTGCTGTGCTAAGGTTTAGGGGAAACAGAAACATTGTATTTTTTTAACACACATCTGCTAAAAATTGGTGTAAAATAATAATTTTACCCTATTAGAGTAAAATTTATCCTGGCTTATCCTACAATCTCTTTCTTGAGTTAATATGTCTCCATAAGCACAGACCTCTCCACTTCTGAGTGGAGCCCTGTAAGAAGGGTCAAACAAAAGCCTTCTGGAAATATGAAGTACTAATTTACCCAAACTGTACAGCATGCATTTAACTGTTAGTTATAGACCAGTCAGGTATAGGTAATATCATCTGGACTCTCTAAAATTTCCCAATGGTTGATATTCTGTCTGTTAGAATAAATAAAGTGGGAATAAAGAGAAGTGAAGATGTAGAAACACATATGGTATGTGCAGTATAGATGTGCCCCATCTACTTGTACTCCTATTTTTTGATAAATGTGACAAAAATATCCAATTCATGAAGTCCCACATTTGTAGAAAAGCTACAGGCAGCCACACATTATCCCTGCATCAAATCATTACTTTTCTTTGTTAACAAAGAGTTAAAACATGCTCTCAAGCAAATATTGAAAAGAAAATATTTAGTTTGTTTATCCTTTGGGAGGGCTTCCTCCTCTGAGATGAGGCAAGAATTTTATCAGTAAATTGGATAATCAGGAACTGCTTAGCTGAGAAAAGAGGGTGGAAATATATTATAAATTCTAATTTGTCCTTGAACAGCATCAGACATGTTTCACATTTGTTACAAGATAATTTTCAAGCTCACTTTAATTTGGGGGAAATTGCTATTAATATGAAACTGCAGTTAATCCCTCAGTCAAAAGAGACTTTAAAAAACGTTGACCAACATTTGCTGTTTTATTAGATGGAGAACAACAAGCATTTCTAGCACATGTAAAATTAATATTTTAATATTATGTTAGCCATGGTGATTTTTAACCAAAAAATACATTAAAACCACCAAACACCCTATTCAGTAGTGAGTAGGCTCCTGGTACCATTGCTCCTGGTATCAGCTCTAGTGAAGAAGATAATGGCAAGCTCAAGGTTTTTTAAAGGCCAAGGGATGAAGCAGAATGCAAGTGCGGTTTTTATGTCCTGCTGTGTACTTTTCCAGAGCTCACATGGGATGTTGGGTGTTTACAGATAAGCAAATTAAGTGCATCTTCTTTCAAGCTGACCTTCTTGTAAAAACGTTATTTTCCTCTTTAGAGTCCTTATCTACCAGAGTGTGACTGTTATGTGAATAATTACAATGCTGAATAGCTGACAAAAGCATTATCCAGAAGCAAAATTATTAGAAGCTTTACCTTACTCTGAGTTGCAGAAATCTTAAAATGAGGCACTTAACAGAAATGCTTCTGCAAGAAATAGCACACTGCCATCATGCAGAGTAAAATGCCTACCCACATTTGTTGCTGTCCTTAATATAGAAGGATGTCTCAGAGAGCAGTGATCCTTGCGGCTCACATGGATCATCGCATGTTTTCCTGCTTTGGTAATAGGAGTGAAAGTTACTGCAACTTCACCAATGCTCTTCTCTGATCTGCTGAAATTTCATTTCTCCAGGTATACAGAGCTGTTTTCCCCCTTGACATAAGTTTATCTTGTACACTGAAGGATGCTGCAAACACATGAGTCCTGGCTTTTCATTCTGAAGACATGTTCAGTTAAAAATGACATGTAGTTGAAAATTGTGATTTCATTGTAGTTTCTTTTAGAACATGCATGGAGTTAGCTATGTCCATCATTTGAGAGAGGTTTTTCTTATTCATTTAAATAATAATTGGTGCCACATGGAAGTGTACCTGTAGGTGTGCTCTGGGCCAGTACTACTGTGTGTCAAGTAATGAAATCTCTCAGGTTATAATATCTGTTTACAGCAGCAAGGTGAGATATTGCCTTTCTTGCAGTGTTTATTACACTGTTAAAAATTCTAATGTGGAGAGCATCTGGGTACCAGGTTTTATCGAAGAAACAATGACATTACCAATTTTACCCTATTTATTTTTTCTTACACTAGCTTCCTCCCTCCCCACCAGCCTTTCATTCCCTAAGTCTCCCCTCCCCTGCATGGAGGGGTCACTACTAGTGACATTGGGGCAGAAAGTCATTTTTTATTCCTGCTGGGATGCTTCTTGAAGTTTCCCATCTCAGGCACAGTTCCTGGGTATCTCCTGGCTTTGATGTCCATCACTGATGTACAACATTGATGTCCATGGCTTCTTCATCTTCAGGATCTTCCTGCATTTCCCAGATCCCTCCCCAGGCCAGGATTTTCACCTTTGACCCCCTTCTTCTTTCTGAGAACACTTTTTTTCTTTCAGGAACTTTTGGCGCCAAATATTCTTTCTGGAAAACCACCTCACAGTTCCTCCAGTCTAAATAATGTACATGCATAAGAACAGCACATAATCAGCCTTTTAACTAGTGCTCTGGTCTCCTGTCTCTTTATTAATTGCAGGATTTGGGATACACTGCTTTTGTTTAGTCAGAGTGTTATCAACATTTCCAGCAGCTAATAGTGGTTACAGCTTGCAAGCAGCAACCTCTTGTCTGAGAGTTCAGGGGTTCAGTTTCATGCACTTACACAACAGTTGCCTGCTGCCTGTTCTGTTCACAATTTCACCTGTTCTTTGCCAGTGACAGCTCCTAAATCTCAGTACCTGTATTGACGTTCAGTTCTGTGCCAGTACCTTCTGACACATTGATCTGCTCTTTGCTGGACTTCTGTTATGTGTTACAGCTTTGTACACTGTACAACTGCACAACAGACATAATACCTGCCAAGCCTTTTGCTGTCCCTCTGGATTTCACTACCCTGATAGTGGTAGCCCAATTATGGTCAATATTAATTAAGGTTTTTGGACAACAAACCACACAGCCATGCTGGTCCAAACCATATGTAGATGAGAAAATCTATGGCTTGTGTTGGCTTGGCTAGTTCCTCATAGAAGCCAGGATGAATTCAGGTAAGGCAAATACTGTCTAAATATGGACAGCTTATGAGTGATGCATTGAATTATTCATGTTGATTGACAAAATCTTAAAAAGCAGATCTTTGGTGATTTTGATTAATGATTTAATTATTTAGCAATATAATGAAAATTCAGCTTAATGTCCCCATTTTTTTCACTGTCCTTGGGCAGGTAATGTTCTTTTTACTT